GTGTGTGTGTGTGTGTGTGGTTGGTGCTCCTTCATATCAGTTTCCTCTGATTCTCTCTGAGCAGCATTTATTAAATAGTCAGAACATAAACTGACAGACTGACCTGACCTCCTGTCTGTCCCGCAGTCCCGGCGCCAGTCCAGTCCCTGGTTCTGGTGGGTCGGAGCCCAGAGGACCTGCGCGTGTCGTGGTCAGCGGCTCCAGGCGACGTGGATCACTACGAGGTTCAGCTGTTGTTCAGCGACATGAAGGTATTTCCTCCGATCACGCTGAGCAGCGCCGTTGACCAGTGTGTCCTGACGTCGCTCACACCTGGACGCCTCTACAAGGTCCTTGTGTCCACGTTCAGCGGGCCGAACCAGAGGGCCCGCTTCATCGAGGGCCGCACAGGTGGGTCACAGGAAGGACTCGCACGACAAAAGATCACATGGATCATATAGTCAAGAAAAAATCCCAATATTTAAAAAACAAGTTGTAATTTTTTACAGAAAAAAATATTTTAAAAAAATATTTCAATAATGGAATTTAAATATGAGGGAAAAAGTTTCAAGAGCAGAACCCAAATTAGTATCGTGGAACGTTTTGACTGAAGTCCTCATTTTTCGACAGAAAGTTGGAATTTTTTAACAAGAGAAAATCCTAAAATAATGAAGAAAAGCTCCTAAACGGTGATTTTAGAGCCAGTGAAATGAAAAGCTGCAGCTCATGATGACGTTTGTGTTCGTCTTCACTGAGATCATGAAACCTGGAACCGAAACAGAACAAAGAACCTGTTTTAGAACATGTCTCCTCCGTATTTAGTTCCCAGTAAAGTGAAGAACATCCAGGTGAGTAACGGTGGAGACAGCAGCAGCCTGCAGGTGAGCTGGACACCTGGACCAGGAGACGTGGACGGATACTCGGTGTTTCTGTTCAGAGACAGTCGGCAGCTCAGTGTCAGAACCGTCTTCAAACACCAGAACCAGGTGACGTTCGGATCGCTGCAGCCCGGACAGTCATACGGAGTCACAGTCCAATCAGTCAGCGGAGATCTGGTGAACAACAACACGGCAATGGGACGCACAGGTGAGAACATACACACCTGTACGATCAGTATATACACACCTGTACTGTCAGAGTATATACACACCTGTACTATCAGAGTATATACACACCTGTACTATTAGTATATACACACCTGTACAAACAGAGTATATGCACACCTGTACTATCAGAGTATATACACACCTGTACTATTAGTATATACACACCTGTACAAACAGAGTATATGCACACCTGTACTATCAGAGTATATACACACC